CCCGACCCTAGCCCTCTTGTCGTCTCCCGCCGCCCTGGCCTTTGCTGCCTCGTCCGCCTTCTTGGTCCCAGCCCTGCCGAGCTCACCCCACCGCTGGGGCCCTCCTCGCCTGGAATGTGCCGCATCCAGATCCTACCCAGCCGCCCCAAGAAGCCTTCCCTGGCTGGCCTGGCCGCCCTGACTTCTGTCCCTGGCCTCCCGGAGCCCGGGGAGCCTGTGAGAGCCTTGGTCGCCCAGCGCAGGACAGGCCCCGAGCCGCCCCGAGCCAGGCAGACCCCTGGGCCAGCACCACTCCGCTGGCTGGGACGTGTCCTCCAGTAAGCAAGCCGCCTGACCTTTCGGAGCCTGTTTTCACCCGCCCCACCCACCCTCTCTGGACGTGACAGCCAGGTGGATGGCACTGCTACCATGCACCTTGCGTGCGGCCCGTGCCCGTGTGTGCGAAAGCTAACTCTGGTCTCCCAAGTGGATGGGATGTGAGCTCCGGAGGGCAGACGTTCACTCTCACGCCCCCCTTTCTGAGTCACGCTGTTGCCCAGGCCGGAGTGCAGTGGCACAACTGTAGCACATCACAGCCTCGGCCTCCTGGGCTCGGGCCGTCCTGCCTCGGCCTCCTGAGTGGCCGGGACTCTGGGCGCATGCCCCTGTGCCCGGCCAGTTTTTTATTTTTGGAGACGCGTTCTCACTACGTGGCCTAGGTTGGTCCCGAACAGGTTCCAGGCTGGGGTCACAGGGCACAGCCGCTCTCCCCTGTGACGTCCTTCCCACACCTGGCTGTGCCTGGGGGAGCATGGGGGGGCAGGGAGGACGGGAGGAGCCGAGCTCGGGAGGGCAGGTGTCAGGGAGGGTGAGGCAAGCAGCAGGAGCGGGGGCTGGAGAGCACCGAGGACCTGTGGGTCCGAGGCTGGAGGCTGAAGCCCGCCCAGCCCCACCTTCCCCAATTACCGGTCAGCATGTGGAGGGCCCCAGCGGTGGCCGCCAGCTTGGCTTTTCTGGAGAGCGCCATGTCCCCGACGTTCGTGCAGCGCAGCCCCACTATGCTGAGAAAGAGGCCGAGGAAGCCCAGGAGGATGGCCGTGATCATGAGCGCTCGGCAGGCCTGGATGTACCCTGGGAAGCGGCACAGCCATCAGCCTTGCCCTCCTCTCCTCCCCCTCTGCGGCAGAGCTGGCCCCGAAAGCCTTCCTGCTTGCTCTTGTTCCGAAAGTCCCCAAGTCCTCTTCTTCCCTCCGGGGCTCCATCAGGCCACCCAGCTGAGGACTCACAGCTCCCTCCTCAGGGGTCCTGGCCCCTCACACCCGCTCGCCCTCCTCCGGGTGCCCGGCCCCCTTTGCTTGTACTTCTAACGGGGCTTTTCCTCCGCACGCCTGGCATTTCGGGCCGGACGAGTCTTTGTTCTGGGAGCCGTCCTGTGCCTTGTAGGGTGTTTAGCAGCGTCCTTGACCGCTACCTGCTGGATGCCAGTAGCAGCTCCTCCACCCTCCCAGCGGTGACAATCCAAGTGCAAAGTCATCCGGTTGAGAACCACTGCTCTTTTTTTTGAGTCGGAGTCTCACTCCGTCACCCAGGCTGGAAGGCAGCGGCATGCTCCCGGCCACCACAGCCTCGACCTGCTGGGCTTTGGCAATCCCTCCTCCTCAGTCTTCCAAGTAGCAAGAACTACAGGCGCATGCCACCACACCCGGCTAATTTTTTTGTTTATTGTAGAGATGAGATCTCGCCAAGTTGCCCAGGCGGGTCTCGAACCCACGGGCTCAGGCCATCCACTCACCTCAGCCTCCCAAAGTGCTGGGAGTACAGGCATGAGCCACCACGCCGGGCTGAGGACCACTGCTCTTAGCTCGCCCCCATGCTCTGCTGGGGTTTATAGAAACTGCACCGGTGCAGCCCGTTTCCCTCCCCACGCCTGATTCCTCTCGAGTCCCATCCTAGCGCCCAGCACAGGTTGGGACATCTTGACCTGAGTTTCTTTCCAGAGTAACCCGCAGGGGGCAGCAGTGCCCCTCGGCGGCGGTCGAGGACAGTTTCTGGTCTGGAAGGTGGGATACCTGGGTCCAGGACTGAGACACATCGATGCAAGTCACGTGTAACTGAGTGCCTCAGTTTCTCCCTTCTCAAAGCTGAAGGCCTGCTGGCTTCCTCTCCGCCCCCCCCGCCCCCCTCCGTCTTTGATCGTTGCCAAGCACTCCCAGGAACCTTGCACCCCTCTCCCGGGTGGGGCGGCGCCATCAATGCCGCAGGGGCAGGGCTGGGTCCCTGCCAGGAGGAGGTGAGGTGGCCGGGAGTTGGGGGGCAGGGAGGAGGGGCAAAGTTCTCCAGGAGCACATTTTTACTCCCAGCCACTCCCTGGGCATTCCCGCCCAACTCGGAATCCCCAGGTGGCCTCCAAGGAGCGATCAATGAAGGGCCGGTCAGGGCCCGAGTGGCTGGGGGTGGGGGTGGCGGTTGGGAGGAGACGAAATGGCAGCCCGGGCCCCTCTCGGGGCCACGCTGGCGGCCACGCACCTGAGCTCTGGCTCCCCCTCCACCACCTATGTGGCTCTGAGCAGGTAGCTTCCACCTTGCCGAGTTTTTCAGCTTCTGTAGGAGGAACTGCCCCCAGGGCTTTCGTAGACAGGATGGAAACCCTGCAGGTGGGAGTCCCCAGGCCAGGTCTGGGACCTGCCCACCCCTCTGCCCGGCTGTCTTCCGTGCGCACCTGTGTCCTCTGTCCGGCAAGAGGAGAGGTTCAGGAGAGGGCCCCTTTCGGGTGCACAGACATGCAGCCGAGCCCCTCCTTGCCGCGGCGTTTGAGGGCCAGGGAGGTGGGGCTGCCCTCTCGGCCGCTGGGCACCGTGGGCTGGCCCAGATCCTGCTCAGCCTTTCTGGGGATTTCTGGAGGGGCTCGCTCTGCACGGCCAGTCCGAGAGGCGAGCGAAGACACGAAGCCCCCGCTGCTGCCTCTGGGGTTGGGGGAGTCGGGTCGCAGAGACCCACCCGGACCCTCACTGCTCAGAGCATCCCTGACGTTCTCGGGGCCCGCTTCACACTCGGGTCGGCCCGAGTTCTTCCCCCACCGGAGACCTACTGCACTGCCCGGAGAGCAGGTGGCCCGAAGGGCCAGGGAGGGGCAGCCGGAGAGCCCGCGAGGGCTCACAGCCACCAACTCTTGCTCCCTGGCCCGGGGCGGACGAAAGGGAGGGCCGGTCACAGGGGTGAGCAGAAAGCAGGGAGGTGCCGCACCCGCCGAGAAAACTGCTTCACCCCATAGGAACCTCAAAGACGGCACTGTCCTGAGAACCCCAACACGTGCCCGTACACACGCCGCCTCCTTACAGCAGATGCTCAGCCCTGCAGGACGCCTCCCTGCCACTGCAAGCAGGCCTTCACAGGGCCCTTTGGCGCCCAGCCGGACAAGACCGAGGCCCTGGTCCGCAGCAGCCCCAGGATGCTGTTGGCACCGGAAGTGTATCACCCACCAAGGATCCAAGATGGGGCCTCCACCAGCCCCAGCTACTCCACCCCAAGGTAAAGGCGCGCCTGTACTGAGTGCGTGTGTGTTTAACAGCACGTGAACACTGTGCACTTTCTCGGCCACCTGCAAACTGGGATGGTTCTCGTCCTAGTCTCCCCAGTGGGTGGGATGAAGCTCTTTCATCACCTGCCCGCAGCACAGAGCTAGCAAAGGCAGTCTGACGGTAGTGCCCACACCCGTAACCGCTAGGATGGTGTCACACTAGGACTGGCGCCATGTGGGACAAGGCCTCCACTCCAGTTCCTGGCAGGGACCGTCCCCAGCACTCCCGGCTGCAGCCCAGAGATCGACCCAGGGCTCCTCGTGTCCTTTTGGCGCTGCCTGGCTTCCCCCAGGGTCTCCGACCTCCCCGAGCCCTCCCAACCCCGTACCGGAGAGGGCCAGCATGGACGGGAACTCCCAGCAGTTGTAGACGCCCAGGGAGTCGGTGGCACAGCTATACCAGAGGTTCTCGAAGATGGTGTTGGTGGTGATGACGTTCCCGTGCACGGTGGACACGCGCCAGTAGCTGTTGGGCAGGGTCACCCCCAGCATCAGCAGCCCTAGGGCTGCCACGAAGAAGCCGAAGGTTTCCACCGCTGTCGACATGGTGGCTCGCAGAGCCCGGAGGGGCTGGTGCCCCGAGAGGGGTGGGGTGGAGCCCCCGGGAGCTGGAAGGGGCTTCGGCCGAGGAGGCCGAGGAGGGGCGTGGAGGCCGGCTGATGAGCAGGTCCAGCCACAGCCTGTGCCTCGGGCTCAGGTCTGGCTCCAGGCTTCTCCCTCCCTCCCTCTGGGTCTCTCCGCTTCCCGGCAGGTCGGAGGAACGAGTCCAGCGCGCGCAGCTGTTGGCGAGGAGATGGAGGGAATAAAAGAATCGGGCCAAAAGTCCACCCCCTCCCCCGGCCGCCCGGACTCCCCGCCCCACGAGGGTGGGGGGAGTAGGCTTGCCGGGGAGTGACTGAGTGACGGACACCGCCGAGGAGGGGCCCCCAAGGGAGGCGTTGGGAGCCCAGGGGAAGCGCCGTCTCTGCCTCGGCTTTCGTCGGGGCCGGAGGACAGAACGGGAGGGACGAGGAGAGCAGAGACGACGGAGGCCAGAGACAGAGACGGAAAAGGACAGAGAGAATGAACACGGGCCCACGGCAGCCCTCCACGGAGAAGCGTCCGGGGATGGTGAAGACACCCTGAGACGCTCAGAGTCCGGGGGCTGGGACGCTTGGGTCTCGAAGGAAGACGGGCTGGAACGAAGGGACAGGAAGCTGGGAGCGGCCAGCGGCTCTGGAGTCCACCCGACCTGGGTTCGAGCGAGAGCCTGCCATTCACCAAGGCGGGCCAGCAGGGCGTCTGAGCCCCGCTGGGCTGGCCTCTGCTTCCGTCAGCTGAAGTCTGACTGCTGGCTTCAAAGGCTGTCGTGAGAACGGGCTCACGGATCCAAGCTCCCACGTGTGACAGCTGTGCAATCCTCGGCGACTGTCTTGGAGCCCGCAGAGCTCAGGGAGGCCACCGGGGTGTCACTTTCTCTGGAACTCAAACTTCCTCCTCCTCGAGTTGATCTTTAACTCAGCATCAAGCTTGCTCCCGCTGCCCGGAGGTCCCAAGGGGTGAACCGCAGGCCCCGAACGCGATCCTGCGGCCGAGCCCTCTGGCCCGTTCCCAGTTGTCAGGAACTGCCACCGGCTCTACTCATGAGGGTGGATCAGAAACCCCTGGGTCCCTACCCAAGCCGGCGCTGAGCACCGTCCCGGCGTGGACACCCGCTTCCTGCTCAGGCTCCCTTCTGGCCGCTGGCCCTAGGGTGGCCGAGAGGAGCGGACACCGCGCACCTGGCGCCGGGGACGCCCCTGGCTGGACGCGCCCCGCTCGACCCCGCCTCCCTGTCCCGCCCCTCCGCGCCCCCTCGGGTGTCTCCCCCCACCCCGCCGGACTGGCCCGGGCTGTGGAACGAGAGGCATGCGGCAAAGCAAAACAGGCCCACACCGAGCCTGGCACGGGGGTGTGGGCCCACGCCGGCCGGGCGGGGCAGGCTCCTGACCTCTCCCGAGACCCCCACCCGCCCTGCGCCCAAGGCCAGCTTCCTGCCCCCGCCAGCGGCCCCCTCCCCTAAGAAGGATGAGGCAGGAGGAGGGGGAGGACGCAGGAAGACAAGGGAGGGAAGGGCGGGGTCAGGAGGAAGCTGGGGGGCTGGGGCAGAAAGCCCCACGTGCTGCCGCAGCTGAGTGGGTCAGAGGAGACGGGAGACATAAATCCCAGCCTGTCGCCTCAGCGCTGCCCTTTCCGCCTCAGGTCACTGCTTCTTCCAGGGTTCCAGGGCCACGGAAAGGCCCCGGAGCTGCGCAGCCTGGCACCGTTCAAGGGCACGGCTCCGGAGCGGGAAGGAAGGAAGGGCGTGGGGCCTGGGCCGCCCGTGGACAAAGGCGAACCCACACCGGCCTGGAGGGCAGGAGCAGGAGGGCCTCGAGTGGCTCCCCACCCTGTGCACGCGGAGCCCACCCCGCCTCAACTCAGGCACGGAGGTTCCCAAGCCACAGCCCGACTTTATTTACACTCATCCCAAGGAACACAATTTGGGGCTGAAAGACAGGATTCAGGGGAGCGGAAGCTGAAGGCCACGGCGGACAGGGACGGGGTGCGGGGGACAGAGAAGGGCCAGCCAGGGTCTGCGGGCCCTTCCTCGCGTGTTCTCCGTGGGCTCCCACGTCTCCTTCAGGATTTGGACTTGGACACGGCGAGTCCGATGAGTCCAGCCAGTCCCGCCACGCCCAGGGCCATGCCTCCAACGATGGCCATGCCCACCAGTCCATCTAGACAGAGGAAAGGGGCGCCGTCAGGAGCCCGGCCCTGCCCTGGTCCCTCTCGGCTCCCCAGCCCGGGCT